GGTAGAAAGTTGAGTCAGTTTGGAATAATACGGTTAACCCCTAGGTCACTCTCCAAAACGTCTGCTGTAAATTACAGAAAAGGGAACTCGAAACACCACCGACATACCATGCTCACCAAGTTCACATAAAATGCGCTAAATTTGACGACCTTACTAAAATATGCTGCCACAGCTTAATGGTGAGCGAATGGTCAATTCACCAAAGAGTTGTGCTGTAGGAATTGACACAAATCTAGTGACAGCATCATCTTACTGACTTCGTGGTAAAACAATCTTGTTTAAATGAGTCAATGAATGAAGTGGGTTGCTCAATCACTGTGAATCGGCCAAAATTAACCACATCATTCTGGAAGGTGATTCAGCGTTTGCGGAAATAGAGACCGGTAGGCGGGTAAGCTCACCTTCCTTACTTTTCTTCAAACTCCATTTTCTTCATAGCCCTGCCTTTACCGCTCCTACCAACGGAGAGGTGTCTCAGTTACTCTCAGTAGGAAACATTTTGAAGAGGACAGTGACAGTTAATTGTGCTCGCCAAGTGGTAAACCTATCCTTTTCTGGTTTCTAATTGTGAGTGCGGTAATCGGCATCCGATTCAATTTTTGGCTAAAGCGGACACAGGTATCGTCTTCCACCTTCTTATCCTCCTCTTCCTGTCGCGTGCCTTGTTCATGCAATTGGCTATCAAAAGGCCGGTATTTGTTTACGAGGCCACCTTATCACGAGCCGCAACTTTTGTTTACTTTAACCCTTATTTTTTTATTTGGGTGTAAGTGAGCGCTCTCTGTGTACCAGCTGATCAAAGGCATTCAGTGGCAGGAACTGTCGTAAATTTAAGACTCTAGATAATGAAGCCAATTTTAATTATGCCCCTACATTTCGTGAATAAATCATACAGCTTCACCAGGTATGTTAAGTGCTAAAATGTCATTGCTCTGGGTTTCGTAATTCTAACAGCCATTTGTAGATAGAGGCTGGACGCGCACCTGTAAAGGCCAAAAATTCAGTCAGACTGCCCTCACACATAAATATTTCTCTTAATTGTTTTCAGAGGCGAGATTTGCGGCATTGCAAGACTTCTTGATGGGCCAACTATTAAATTTTGGAATATGGAAGGACCTAAGGCTAAAATATGGGCGGGCCCAAACATCAGTTTAAAGGCTTCAGATATAGGCGCGGTGAACCAACAACTGGACTGTGACCGATCTACAGTGAATGGCGAACCCACTTCATTAAATTATTTTAGTTTAGCAAACATTGTTTTGCCACGAAATCAGTGAGATGATGCTGCCACTTGATTTGTGTCAATTCCTACAGCACAACTCTTCGGCGAATTGACCATTCGCTCGCTGTTAAGCTATTGTAGTGTGTTAATAAGGTCGTCAAGTTCAGCACACTTTCATGTGAACTTGGTAATCATGCTTTGTCGAAGATGCTTCAAGTAATTCTTCAGCAATTTACAACTGACGTTTTGTAGAGTAGCCGCAGAGGTTGACGTTATTTTAAACCGGTTTTCATTTCTACCTCCATTTCCAGATCAAATGCGTGGCTAGAGGCAGACGTCTAAGGCATTGTGATGTATGGAAATTGTACTATTTGTCCAAATTTTTATGGGAAGACTAGTGTATTTTCTACAATCCCCTGTTCTTCGGCGATCAAAGACATTTACTTAGTCACAAGATCACTCAAATCAGCCCTCATGCCACCTTAGAGGAGCAGGAGTAGGAGGAGGAGGAGGTGGGAGATATATACCCATTCTTCCATCAAATTCTGACTAGTTGCCTAATTTCTATGCCTCATACTGCAAGATATCTTACCTTGGTCAATGCTGACAAACCAGAGTTTAGATTGAGTAGGTTGAATTGGAAAACAAGGGAAATATTTCATAAAGGCTCATTTCTAGCAGAAAGTTGCCTATTTATGCCAAATTTCGGCTTTTTCACAATACCTTTAGTGTAAAGGTATTTCCTGTATTTGTAAGAATGCACAAAATTCAATGAGCACACAATTGTTAGTTGAGAGAATAAGGAGAGATTGCCAAGTGAGATGGTGCGGTGCCTTGACTTCGTTTATTATTTATTTCCTTTGTTTCGACAATAATGCATGTTTTCCTAACATCTCATTATCCGAGGTTGTTGTCTCCTCGATTCATTTGATCCCATCATCACCTCACACAGTGGAATTAATTTGGAATGTGATAGGAATGTTTACATGGAGATGTGCCTAACAGGAAGTGGATGGAGTATAAGAGGCGGAGCAGACTAACCTCTACCCCGTGA